GAAAATCAACTCAAACTGGAATAAGGACTCAAATGTAAAACTTGAAACTATTAAACTAATGGAAGAAAATATAGGGGAGCCTCATGACACTGAACTGGGCAACAATTTAAAAAAACACAGGCAACCTAAGAAGAACAAATAAATAGATCACACTAAACTAAAAAGGCTTTTGTCAAACAAAGGAAACTACTAACAGTAAAGAGACCTGTGGAATGGGAAAAAAATAATCCCTGATAAGGGATTAATATCCAGAATATATAAGAAAGTTACCTCAACAGCAAAAAATAAAACCTGATTTTTGAAATGGATAAAAGACTCTAATAAACACTGTTCATTCATGTAATACTTGACTAAGAAGAATGTTATTCAACTCCATCCAGGGTTTTTTTGTTTGTTTGTTTGGGGGGTTTTGTGACAGAGTCTCACTTTGTTGCCCCTGATAGAGTACCATGGTGTCACAGCTCACAGCAAACTCAAGACTCTTGGACTCAAGTGACTGTCTTGCTTCAGCATCCCTAGTAGCTGGGACTACAGGTGCCCACCATAATGCTGAGCTATTTTTTAGACATGGGGTCTCACTCTAGCTCAGGCTGGCTGCACTCCTGAGCTTTAGGTGATCGCCTTGGCCTCCCAGAGTACTGGGATTACAGGTGTGAGCTTCCATCCAGGTTAATACAAAAGCTGTAAAGTAGCACAAGAATGGAAAAGCAAGTATCCAATGTGTTCAATACTCATATGAAATCAATAGATAGACAATTACATGCCCACATGAGAGAAAAATACAATTAAATTCAAGTGGGGGATGGGGAGGAGGCAGGAAGAGAGGGGAGGAGAGAGAGGGATTGGTAAACTCTCACCTCATGGGCACAGTGTCTATAGCATACTCTCTGGGCAAAGGGCTCAACTATAACTTGAACTTTATCTAACAAACACAAACAATGTAACCTAATCATTTGTGCCCTCATATCAATCAAAATAAATTTAAAAAACAAAAATAAGTGTCCCCCAAAATAGACACATCTCAAAAGAAGACATACAAATGACCAACATGTATGTTATAAAAATATGGTAAATATCACTAATCATCAAGGAAGTGCAAATCAAAACCACTATGGTACAATATCTTACTTCAGTTACAATCTCTATTATCAAAAAGATAACAAATATATATAAGGATAAGGAAAAAAGGGACCAGTTACACACTGTTGGTATCATAAGCTAGCACAGCCGTTATGGAAAACAGTATGGAATTTTCTCAGAAAAGTAAAAATAACAATACACATATGACCCATTAATCCCACTACTGGGTATATATACACACACACACACACAAAAGAAAAACACTCAAGTATGTTGGAGACATATGTGTACTCCTATGTTTATACATAATAGCCATCATATAGAAACAATGTATGTGTCCAACATACAGATGAATAGATAAAGGAAATGTGGTATATATGCACAGTGGAATATTATTCAGTTATAACAAAAAGAATAAAATCCCTTTATTTGTGAAAACATGATGAACTCAGAGAGCACTAAATGAAATAAGCCAGACACAGAAAGACAAAATGCCTGGTCTCACTCATGTGTGGAATTTTTTTTAATAAGTGATTGCAACTGGATGTCATAGGAACAAAGACTAAAACATGGTTATAGAGACTGGAAAGGGAAGGGGCAGGAGAATAAAGAGATTTTGGTGAATGGAGAAATTAGATAGGAAGAATAAATTCTAGTGCACAGCAGGTGACTATGGTTAACAAGAAAACACTATCCTCACAAAATAGCCCAGAAAGAGAAGATGCTGAAGGTTCTTGCCACAAAGAAATGGCCAATGCATGAAGTGATGGATACCCTACCCCAATTGGATCATCACACAACATAAATGAGCACTGAAACATCAGTTTATAGCAGCAAAATATGTACAATGACCATGTGTCAAAAACTTTTGAAAAGTTATTAGACCAACTGCTAGATCCAGTTGAGTTAATAAAGAAGCACATGTATAATACTACAGCATACACCTGACTTAAAATCAAATGAAAAAGCCAATACCGCTAGTGATTTGTGACTCCCCCCTGACTTAAATGCTCTTTTCCACGAGGCTTACTTCTACAGTCATTATTCCAGGTCACACTTGAACCCAATAAAGACAACGAAAATCACTATGATTATACTCATCTAACCTGCCAACAAGTCCATCAATTAGTTCCAACTTTGGCAGTGATAGCCCTCATAAAATACATTAGAGTCTTTGCTCATTATCATTATTCAGGATGGAAAATTACAGAAAGATCATATGGTATTTTATTTTATTAGTGAAAACAAGTAAGGCACTGTGAGGCAAACATCTCATATATGACCGAATAATGAACGCCCAGTGACTTCACCCACCCTATGCTGGGACAGCCAGTCACTTGATAACCAACAGAGAACCTGGCCCTCTACTGTATGATACCACACCATATCCTCCTACGCATGCTAACTCTGATGTAGTTTCTCCTTTGTTTCATTCATCTTTCACCACTCACATCTAAGTTAATTCAACCACAAGGAGTAGTTATCACATTTAACCTCTCATTTCTGAATACTTCCTTCTCTTTTCCTACTCTCATTGTTTTATCTAACATCTCTTGGTTAGTTTTATAAATAGAATTACTTACTGGTGTGCCCCAATTGTAGAGGCCCACAGTGGTTTGAATACCAGGTGTTAATTACAAAGAAAAAGTGGCACACCTCCAGGAAGGAAAAGAAAACCAAAGGGTTTGAGGGCAAAATTAAAGAATCAGCACTTGCCGCCTTTAGACTTGTGAAACTGTCAAGATAACTTAAAATCACATTGTTGGGATTGCTGCTTAACCCTATCTTTCTTCAATCATCACTTAATATAAAAAAGAATTCTTTTTCATGTCGTTGTTTGATTCTTCATGTAACAGCATTGCAACATTGGCTTGTATGACCTCTCTCCCATTGTACAATGTCTCATTTTAATTTTATAGTATTTTAGTTTCACTGTAAGTTATATTGGCTCTTTGGGGTAATCTAAACTCTAATTATAAACTTCCATAGGCCATAAGTCAAACTGACTTAAAGACTAAGAGAATTATTCTATTATCCATATCCTAGCTCTTAATTTCACAGGTTCAGGAAAATACTTCACCTTCAGTTTAAAAAGCATCTGATAAGATTTTAATTAAGGTCAAAAATAGTTTTTGTCTTCGTTAAGTGTGCAAGCATGGCATATACAGCACAAGAAGTTCACTATCATAAGCGGTGCTGGGTCCCTGACTAGTTGGTTTCAGTTTGCTAGACTTTTAAACAAGAAAATTTAACATAGTGACTTTTCCTCTTCTATAACTCAAAAATCACACTGTCTTATTTTCTGAGAGGGAAGACAAATTTTTAAATTTCATAAATTTGTATATAGCTAAAGAAGGGTGTGTACCACATTCTAAGGTGTCCCCCTAAATCATCTCCTCTCAAGTACCCTAAGCTTGATATAGTGTCTCCTCCATTTCATCTGCCTTTCACCACTCACACTGAAGCTAATTCAGCAAAAACGAGTATTTCTCGTATTTAGACTCGAAAATTAGACTATTTATTATAAGATCATCTTTACAAGATATTTATGTCTATTTATAAGACTATTTGAATAAGACATGAAAATAGACCAAGACTTGAAATATCTATAGTAAACTACAGCACTGTAACAAGATTTGGATAACTAAAATTTTAGGTCAATTCAAGAGGTAAATACAAGTAAACTGCCTGATGTAACTAACCACTGCAAAATTGAGATTCTGATACAGGATTCCCCCACTCAGGGTTGGTCAGGGACACGACCACCACCACCACCCCCATTCTGAGCTCCCAGGTGAGCTCAGAAATCCGACCCCCATTTCCCGGCACAAACAAGCTACCTTCTCCAGGCCACACCTCTGGGCTCTAGCAAGGTCATTAACAAAGCAGCCTGAGTCATTTGGGGGTTGTTCCACCTTGCTTTACCACTGTTTGCGAGCCATAAACAGTTGATCTTTACACGGCTCCCCCAGTACCTTCTGGGAGGAGCAAACTGTAGGGACCTGAAAACTTTGTCCTGGTGGAGGAGGGACTGCATTCATTCATTTGTTAATACACTCATTAACTTTGAAAGGATGATTTTCCACCTACCAAGTCCTGGCCAAAATGTAATTAGACCCCTACAGAAAGGACACCTGAGAGATTTCTGACGTGGGTCTTCCCCTTGCCAGAGGCTCTGGCGCTTTTTTACTGCTTCCGTATTCCTTTCTAATAAAATCCTATCTTCACACTGATTTTAACCCACTGTCCGTGGGTTCATTCTTCGAATCCCCAGACCAAGGACCTACTAAGAAAGAAATTCTGGGATCAATTCGATATTCTACAGTCAGTATTGAAAACCAAAAGTTTCTAGACCGATCCCGAAGAAGTCTTGATTCCAGACAATGGTAAGGCATGTGAAGTTTGGGGAAAAACAAAACAAAACAAAACAGAAAGATCCCAAAGCTGTGGGGCTAACTTTTCAGCGGTCCGCAAAATGACTCCTGGATTCAGAGCCCAGGTGTAGGCATCGTCTGTAAAAGGCTTATGCTTTCGGCGTATGGTCAAAAGTTGATGGGTTAAGACTTCAAATTGGAGAGGCGGAGTAGGTGACCTTCCCGCCTCTGTAATTCACCTCCCCTTTGCGGCCTAACTTTTCCTGTCGCGACGCAGAGCAGAGGTGGTGGCATCTGTCTGGGGAATGCACCGGAGGCGGGAAAGCCAGGCTGGAGGAGGCGGGGAACAGGAGGGGCCCCTGGGGGTTCTAGGAGGAGGTCCCAGTTGAGGAGATGGCAGTGGCTTCCGGACTGGGTAAGCAGTCCCAGCAGGGGAGAAGAGGAACGGAGGGAGGAGCCGGGACGCAAGAGTGAGCCGCGAGGAGCGGGGAACAGGGGTGAAGCGCAGCGGGACCCGACGCTAGGGCGCTGGGACCCGGCACTCACCGGTCAGGCGCTCGGGCTGAATGGGTCGCCACCTCAAGGCCCGCTCGCTCAGCACCACGTCACAGCTACCCCGTCCAATCTCGAAGATGCCTCGGAGCAGAATCTGCTCCGCAGCCTCAGTCTGCTGCGGAGAAGTCCAGAGCGGCGAGGGCACAACAGCCGCCTCCCGGGACGCCTCCTCCTCCCGGCCGCCCTCCAGGGCACCCACCCGGCTCCCGCGCCTCCTGCGAGGCATGGCGCACTTGCAGGCTGGGCGCAAGCCTGGGGTCCGGGAAGGCCTTCGGAGGAGGCGGCACAGGCCGCTGCAGCCACCGCTCTAGCTGCGTCCGGCGCTGCCACAGCAACGGCGCGCGGGGCAGAGACCCAGGAGGGAGGCGGAGCGGGCAGGCGGGGCGTCCCGGACCTAATCTAGCGCCTCTGCCTGCCAGCCTCGCGTGCCCGCCACCCACCACAAAGACCCACGTCCAAAAGGGAGAATAAGTGACTCCCTGCTCCTAGTCCCTACTGTTCAGTAGGATTTAGTGCATTGCTATACCCTGAAGTTGTATACAATAAACCAGCCGTCCTGAGACTTTTACTTCTATATACATCCCTTGGGCACCTTATTAAAATGCAGATTCCTATTGAATAGGTGTGGGACGGGCCCCACAAACTGCATTTTCCTAAGAAGCTACTAGACAACAGATGTCCCTGGCTGCACACTTAAGACTTGCAAGGATGGAGCCCAGTCCCCCCCCCCCCTTTCCGTGGTTTCCCCTGGAGAGCAGAGGTGGTGCTTTACCACTGTTGGCGTGCCATAAACAGATCTGTACACCGCAGGAGGAGTGGGAGCTTACCTCCCAAAACCCTTGAGGGGAAGCTAGAGGTAAGCCCTCTAGTTTGCATGCACAGATTTACATCTGACAAATTTAGTGTTAAAGCCTCTGTGCTGTAAGTATTTAGCTGCTAAATACTTCCCCATGTGGAAGGAAATGAAGCCATACTCGGTTTAAAAAAAAAAAATTAAGTTGGTTTATTCTGAGCCAAATTAAAAGACCATGACCCAGAGCCACACCAGGACTCACGGTGGTGAGGTTACAGTCTGGTTTATACGTAGTGGGGAGACAAGAATTACAGGGGAGGTCATGAATCAACACATGGAAAACATCCAATGAGTTGGTCCAAAAAGGTGGGACATCTGGAAGCTGGGGCTTATTGGGTGATAGGCGGGCTTCATTCCTTAGCTGACAATTGCCGAGTCAGGCTTGTCTAAAAACCGAGAGTCAGTGAAAAGGAATGCTTAAAATAAAGGGTCTGTTAATTAGGGACAAAGGACCAGACTGACTCAAGTAGTTTATATATATCAAGGACCTGCAGGGCGGTCTTCTATAGCCTTAGGTCTGTCAGTTTAAGTCACATAGGACCTCTCTAATAAGGGAAGGAGGCATGATGAAGCATGTCTGATCATGACTAGCAACTCAGTTTTAGGGATCCTCTTGGCCAAGAGGGTGTCCAGTCAGCTGCTTACCAAGAGCGGTAAGATTTCATTTTCGTTCACATCCAAGATAGCGCCTCTGCAATCTTGTCTGTGCCTGGATTTGAACTCCTTTGAGGAAGATTACAAGTAGCAGGGCTTGCTCTGAAGAGCCCCAGGGTGGGTAGGGCAGTTACTCTTAACTTTCACTTTATAGCTGGAATTCCTATAATTAGCTGCTTGTTAATTTGGAAAGCACAGGAAAGTCTGGAAGCCAGTGATTCCCAATTGTGACTGCACCTTAGAGTTACCTGGGGAGCTTTTAAAACCCAGACATCCAGGCCATACTAGAAGATAATTAAGTTGGAATCTCAGGTGGGATCCAGACTTTGGGTTTTTAAAAGTTCCCTAGGTAAGTCCAATGTCTAGCCAGGGCTATTTAGCAAGGCTCCTCAAAGCAGGGTAATCACGCAGGAGCTGCCTACGAGCAATGGGGAAGCAGTCAGGGAGAAGTGAGTCCTCAGGAAGACCGGGAAGCGAAGCAGAAGGTTTTGTACAAGGTCTTTCTCTTTATATTGAGAAAAAGTTAGGAGTGGTGGAGGTAACGAGGAAATCCATAGAGCTGTTCATCTAGTTCCAGTGGGTTAGTGCCTAAACAATTCCATCACATAGACAGCTACCCCTCATTTTGTCTTCACCTCCGGTCACCCAAGGTTCTTTCCTCAGATTGTGCATAGGCCCAAACAAATCCCTTTCCAACATAAAGCACCTGTGTGCTACTTAAGACAGGACTCTTACTGTTTAATGCTCTGACAGCAAATACCCAAGCCTCCAGGAAAGGTGAGGAAGAGCTTCAGTTTGGTCTGACTGCAGCGCACTGTTTCTCAGAGCAGAAGCACAGCTGCTGCTAAACCCCAGGCAGGCTTCAGGTGGTTCTGTTCCACAGTCAGGAGCAGGAAAGAGAGGATACCCTTGGAAGAATGAGTTGCAGCTCTGGATTCAGCATCTTATACTCAGAGGTGCAGACAATCAACACAAGGCGAGCTCATTGACATTCTATAAACTGACTGAGAGCAAGGGCCAACAGGCCAAGACAATGGCTACTTCCTAGGACCTTTGCCAAAGGGCAAGTTGCCATTTTTCAAGCTTCTGTCAAGTCAGGCAGTCAAAAACATTGGCTTTGGTGGAAATAATAAAGGGTATGTTTTATTCTTTCCTTCTGATGAGCTGTCCTCTTCCAGGGCTCTGCAAATGATACCACCTCCCCAGTCACTTTCCTGAACTTCAGATTACAACCAACTGCCTGCCTGATGTCTTTACTAGGTATCTGAATTAGCTTCTGAAACTGATCTAAAACCAAACTGCTGATTTCCCATCAGGAACCTGTTATTCCTAAAATGTTTCAAATCAGCAAATAGTATCATCAAAATCCCTGATATCAAACTTGTCTCCTTCTTTGTCTTATACCTCACATCAAATCCTCCAGCAAGTCCTGTTTATTCCCTCTGCAAAATGTCTTTATTCCAGCCGCTCTCATCCTAGTCGGCGCCTGTCAGCTGGGCAACTTTAATCTCTTGGCTTTCCCTTTCCCTGTAGTGGTACCTCCAGCTCAGAGCCTATTTTCCACTTTGTAGTTACGTTGCTCCTTTAAGAAGTAACAGCGGCATATCACTCCCTGCTCCAAACCTTCCAATGACTTCCTCACTCCTGAAATAAAATCAAAAAGCCTAGCAAGGCTAGAGGCCTTAACATAATCAGGCCTCTCGTTACCTCTCCAAGATCACCTGCTAACATTTTTCTTCTTGCACATTCCCACAGCCTCTTTACCAGTCCTCAACCACACTGAGAATAGTCCCTTCCCAAAGCCTTGCTGTTCCCTCTGACTAGAGTATTTTTGGCCTTGGCTAACTCCTTCACTTTGTTCACTTTTCACTTAAAGGCTACCTCCTCAAAGAAGCCATTCCTAGGCACTTTCTGTGAGTCACCATTCTGTCACTCTGCGTATCAGTTTCCTATTCATGCTGTAACCAATTACCACAACCTTAGTGGCTTAAAATAAAACAAATGTGCTACACATTTCTGGAGTTCAGTCCTCCAAAATCAGTTTCATGGGACTAAAGTCAAGGTGTTAACAGGCCTGCATTACTTTTTATGGGCTGTAAAGGAGAATTCATCACCTTCCCTTTTCTGACTTCCAGAGGTCATCTATATTCCTTGGCTTCTGACCTCTTCTTCTATCTTCTGAGCCAGCAATGTGAGCTCTCCTCTGCTCTTTTCCTCCATCCTTAACATCTCTTTTTCTCTGACTTTGACTTTTGTCCCTGCCTCTTATAATAATCATTGAAATTATGTTGGGCCTGCCCAGATAACTCATAACTCGGTTACATTTGTAAGTCCCCTTTGCTATATAAGGTCACAGAGCCACAGTTTCTGGACAACTTCAGACAGTCATTAACCTCTCAACCATGTTATGCTTTACTTTTCTTTACATCATTTGTTATTACTCTTTATTATTAAGTTTACTTCTTTCTTACTGTCCATATTCCCTATTAAATAAAGTTAGTATACTCAGTAACATTCTAGAGCAGGCATCCTCAAACTATGGCCCGCGGGCCACATGCGGCCTGCCTAGGACATTTATCCGGCCCACCGGGTGTTTTTGCCACCCTGCCTGTCCTCCAACGGTCTGAGGGACAGTGAACTGGCCCCCTGTTTAAAAAGTTTGAGGACCCCTGCTCTCGAATATAAGAAATATCAAGTGTTAAGTCATGTTGGTGGTATTATTGTTAGACCATAAGCTCCTGGCAGCAGGGAATTTATCTCATTCACCATGAATTCTCAGCTTTGCATAGTTCCTAATACATAGTAAATATTCAATAAATATCTGGAAGGAGGAATGAACTCGTTAAATATTTATCAGTAACAATGATGCCAAAGTACTTCCATTTTCCCTCTTAATTTTTGAATATCAATGGTCTCATTAGTGATTTATATATGTAATACGAATGAAAATTGCTTTCAAAAACATGCAATAAACTTCCTGAACATTGCTTTCTCTACTTTGCCTAAAGCTTAGGTACTTTTTTCCAGAGCATTAAACAATAAGACTACAAGCTTAATAGTCATGTAGTTGCTTTGTGTTTGGAAGGGATTTGGCTAGAACTAGAACCACAGTCTTCACTGCAGATTCTTAAAAATCCAAATTTGAGCAGAAGACCATGAAAAACAGTCTGCTATTCTTAACATTGTTTTTAAAAGGCTATTGAGTATGATCTGAAAACTAATAACCAAGCTTCTAAGAGAAGCAAGGCCAATCCCAGGGATGTAAGCTGATGGGACAGCCTCCTCCAGGCTGGGCCACCTTCTCCATGCTACAGATGGAGCCAGATGAATCCACAGCCAACAGAGATATTTAGATCCACTCCATTGGGGGCAAGCATGTCTAACGCCAGTTAGGACCAACTGTGATAGATTGGACTTTGGGCCAGTGGATAATTCTATGTCATTTCATTTGATCTCCCATAGTCTTTGCTGGCTTCAGAATTTGGAATTTATGTGATTGAACGCTTATGTTATAAAAAATATAATTAGCATAGCTATTTTTCTTTTTTCTTTTCTTTTTTTTTTTTTTTTTTTTTTTTTGAGACGGAGCTTCAAGCTATCCCCCTGGGTAGAGTGCCATGGCATCATGCTCACAGCAACCTCCAACTCCTGGGCTCAAGCGAGTCTCCTGCCTCAGCCTCCCAAGTAGCTGAGACTACAGGCGCCCGCCACAACGCCTG